TTTCCAGACTGCTCTATCTTTGCTAAAAAATTCTTTTATTCTTCATACGAGGTCTGAAATATCGCAAGAGGTGGAAAATCAATTAAAATTATATACTTTGTTTTCTGTACAAGTGTTACGTTTCTTAAATTTACTGGATGAAAAGGTTAGTTGTAATCACTTTTGTTTTCATCTTTGCTGTTCAAAAATACAATTATCATTTCCAAATTTAATTGAAAATTCTTAGCAATGGACGGACATCGTATCTTTCTATCTTTCTTTAAAAATTACATGGAGAGTATCTTATTTTTTTCTTGTGGTGTTTAAAAGTGATGTTCATCATTGACTTTAAACCTTGTTTGGTTTTAAAAGATTAGTCGTTAATTATCATTCCAATCTTTTATCATGACTTTCTTTCCATGCCGTCGGTAACTGTGTGTTGTACTAATTATCTGTATATTAGGGAGAATTAAATGGATTGGCGTCTGTTGTTTGTTCTTTGGCAGCGAATGAACCGGGTAATCTTATTTTTGCCCATCTTCTTCAAAATGGCGTGTTTCATAGAATGTGTGAAGATCAGGCTGTTTCCAGAGAGCAGATAAAAATTCAATTACTTATTATTTTCGCGCATTTATTCACTAATGTGCGTTTGCCTTTATATTGGAACCCAAGCGACAAAAAATCTTATCCATCAAATACTGAATCAAAGGTTTGTTGATAGCATTTCAAATAAAGATAGTTCTGAATATTTTGCATCTTTCTAGTAATTTATATTACTTTTGTTGGTAATGAAATTATATTTATGTGTTGTTGCAGATTTTTTTGGAACCTGTATCGGATGACTGCAAACTTCACATCGAAAAGTATAATAAAAAAGTAGAAAATTTATATCGAGGATTCATGCAAATGGCTTGTCCCAACAATAATTTTCAAGTAGACATTTCAATTCTAGCTTCAATTTAGCTTGTATTATGCTGACTTTTTTCGGTGTTCGGAATTACCAGACATCATTAAGATTCTAATACTTCATTTTATAGCAGGGGTTAATATATGTTCTATTCCTTAATTTTCACTGACTAAATCATTCCAGGGCGAAGTTTTCTCGTTCATGGGTCATTCCGATTCATCGGTTTCATTGTTTAGTTCGAACATTGTTCATCCAATCCATGATTGTTTATTGTTTGATGAAGCGTTCATTCCAGCTCGTGCATTGCGGCCGGTTGATCATCGTGGTCGAGAAGTAAATTCTTTGCTTGTTTTTAAAATTCACTACTTTTTACAAACGAAGTCATTAGGTATAAAAATTTAGTTTGCTTTTCTTAACTTACCGATTCAGTTTTCTTGACCGTATCTATTTTATAGTTGAAAAAAATACTTTTCTTTATCGTCAAATCTTTTTCGATTTTCTTTATCTCAAACTGTTGTCCCCTTCACCACTTAAGGTTCTATGCTTTGTTTTTCGTTATGTGGAATTCAGTTTTTCATTTTTTTAGATATTTTTAAATGCTTATGCCATTGATTTCTGGCATCTGCAGTCATGGGAGCCATTGGAAAAGAATAATGGTATTAGTCAAAATAAAGTTTGGTTCCTAATTCATGATTTTACAGTACGTTATAATCAATTTTTCAAACAGCTCTGTTAGTTTTTAAGGCTGCATAAACTATCGATATATTAATTGTTCTGAGATTATTTATTATGATAGCAGATATTCTCATAAATTATTGTATTCACTCTAATGATGCATTGCTTTAAATTTGAATTTGAAATTTCTTTTTCTTGAAATCAAAAAGTAGTTAACAGCTCATGTTTTGTTTAGGAGACGTTGATCAAGATAAAAAAAGCACTGCTTATTGTTGGACGATCTAAAGATCCTTTTGTTTCAATTATGGAGGAACTTGCGAATGAGTATGATAAAAAATTCCATGTCGCATTTGCAATGAAAAAAACCGATTGAGTTTTCTGGGAATGTGAAAAAGAATATAGGAGCATGTAGCTATAATTTAATCGTTAAGTAACTCCAATTTTTTTTCCGCAAAAATATTTACGCAATGGCATTAATTTGAAGAAGTTTTTGATTTTTTGTTTGTATAGTTAAACGTGATACGAAGCACTCAATTTTTACCTTGTTCATCATTACTGTTTGTAGTATTGTTAAACTCAATTCCACAGTAATATTTTCAAGTTTTATCTTGATGATCATAAAGTTTTAAAATATTCTCCTAAGACGTGTGCTGAGTTCTAAAATTCATTTTCTGGAAATTTTTTGAAATCAAAAACTTATATTGTTGAAACTCATCTCTGTTGTTGTAAGAGATACGGTAAATTGTTTAAGTTTTCATTAATTAATGTGTTGTTCTGGAGAGAAAAAATTAATAAAAGATATTATTTATTTCTTGGAGTCATTATCGTGAATCGAATTGATGGTTTGATGCCGTCGCTAATTACATGGAATCAAAGTGAAAAAGTTATTAGTTTAAGAATGTTTATTGATTCATTTTGGGAAAAGCCGGCATGGAAAATAAAGTCGTTCTAAGAAAGTTATTCAATCAATTTCGCGTTTACTAATTAGATTTCCAGCGATTCATGTCATGTATTTTAGGCGTTGTTGAGTGAGTTTATAAGTCAATGTAAATGCTATGTCAGTGTGTGGCACTATAGCAGAACAATGTTCTGTACTTGTGGTACTTTAGTTTTTTCAGCTTTCATTTCTTTTTGTTGGTCAGGAAGGTGCATCAGTTAATCTAAATGAATCGTTTACGGAAACAGGAGGAGACAGATAAAATGACTCGTATAGCTATCGTCGAAAAAGACCGATGTAAACCAAAGAATTGTGGCCTTGCATGCAAGAAGTCTTGTCCTGTTGTTCGAATGGGTATTTTCTTAAGATTCTGAGAAAGACTAGGAAATTACGTTTAATTCTGCAACAGAACTGATTTTTGTTTTTTTCCGTAACCCTATTTTTAGTATAGATCCATTCATCCTTACAATGATTGATAATTGTTAAATACTTCGTTCAGGGAAGCAATGTATTGTTGTTGAATCGAATTCGAAAATGTCAGAAATATCTGAAACCTTATGTATTGGCTGCGGTATCTGTGTAAAGGTAGGTATTTGCAAGTAGTGATTTCATTTATTGGGTCCAAAGCTTTTGGGGCTGTAGTCGTTGAAAATTCTACAGGTTTTTGCCAACTTAAAGTTTCTTGCTTATTATATAACTTTGTTTACACCAAATAATAGCATTTAATACTCAAATGATCTCCATCAGTATCCCATTCGTTTGTATTTTTATCTTAATTTTTTTGTTGCAGAAATGTCCTTATGAAGCAATAAAAATAATAAATTTGCCAAGCAATTTGGCGAGAGACACAACTCATCGCTTCAGCTTAAATTCATTTAAGTTACACCGATTGCCAACACCACGGACAGGCGAAGTTTATTTTTTGTAACACGAAATTTTATTTTCATTCATTTTTTCGTTGTATTGAATATTTTACAAATTATACATAATATGCCGTTTTTTATCAACAAAAAAGTTATCAAGACCACAAGAATGTCTGAGTAATGGGACACTGTTAGTACATTTATTTTAGGTTCTTGGTCTTGTGGGCACAAATGGAATTGGAAAATCAACCGCACTGAAAATTTTGGCCGGCAAATTAAAACCAAATCTGGGACAGTTTCAGGTGAGGACAAAAGCAAACTAGTTTACAAATTTGCCATTTTGTGGTGAATATTTTCACTGATTCCTGTTGTCCATTTATATGCTTGCAGTGGTAATCAGGATTATGATCTTAAAAATTATTGCGGAGTCATTATTACTTAGGTAAAGTGTTGAACTTTTTTATTGTAGGCACCTCCAGATTGGCCCACAATCTTAACTCATTTTCGTGGTTCAGAATTGCAGAATTACTTCACAAAAATATTAGAAGATAATTTGAAAGCAGTTGCGAAGCCACAGTATGTGGATCAAATTCCGAAGTTTGTGATTTTATTATCTCTCGTACACATATTTCTAAGTGAATTTCTAAATGCTAGCAGCAGTTTCGATCATTGTATGTGTTCAAAATGTCCACTCTTTTTTTCATTAGCTTGAATTTTTAAAGTAATTACTTCGATTTGTCTGTTTACACTCACATTTAGAGTTTTTTACTTTACCATTTACCAATTTTTTATTTAAGATTCCAGCATACAGAAAAATATTGTCTAGGACATGCTTTATTTTATGGAAGTTATGTATCTTCTCTTCAGTTTTTAAAGAAGGCAGTATTGATTGCAGCCTTGATATTCAATTAAATTTTGCTTTGCAGAGCAGCAAAAGGACAGGTACAAGAATTGCTGAGTAAAAAATGTGATCGAGAAAATTTGTCACAAGTATATGACGAGTTGGGTATGTTTTATTGCCTTTGTTTTTACTATTTATTAAATCATCGCTTGGATTTCGTTCTTTATATTTTTTCTAATATTTTAGTGCATAAAATTTTATTTTCAGAACTTGGTGGTGTTAAAGATCGGATGCTGGATCAGCTATCAGGTGGAGAATTACAGCGTTTTGCAATAGCAATGTGTGTTGTGCAACATGCTGATGTTTATATGTTCGATGAACCTTCTAGTTATTTGGATGTGAAGCAACGTTTAAAGGCTGCAAAAATTATACGAGAATTAGTGACACCTCATAAGTAAGTTTTAAAATTTAAAACAATATCATTATAAAATTATGCTTATCCCATTTCTGGCATTTATCAGGAAATCTCAGCATTATTGGCATGATTATTACTAACAAAGACTAGCATTTTTGATTCAACAAAATTATTATTTTAGTTATGTAATTGTGGTTGAACATGATTTGGCTGTACTGGATTATTTATCTGATTTCGTATGTTGTCTTTATGGTTTACCTGGTGTTTATGGAGTTGTGACGTTGCCATCTGGTGTTAGAGAAGGGATCAATATATTTTTGGATGGCTTCATCCCAACTGAAAATATGCGGTTCAGGTAAATTTGTCAAGTTTAAATGACAGTTATTGGTTTGGTTACAATCAGACCTTAATGAAAATTTATAAGCAAGTTTTTATTCTTATGATTGTTTAGAGATTCTGAATTATCCTTCAAAGTCACTGATCAAACAGAAAAGGAGGTGATTAAACGGACAGCTCGTTATACTTATCCTTCATTCACGAAAAAAATTGGAAATTTCGAATTGAATGTGAAGGGGGGTGAATTTACTGATTCCGAGATCATTGTTATGCTTGGAGAAAATGGCACCGGTAAAACGACTATGATCAGGCAAAGATTTTTTGTTATGAAATTCCAAATTTTTTCTAAGCTAGTTTGTTTCCAGTTGTAGTGGATTTGTTCTTTTTTGTTATTTTTTTCTCTGATCTGGACTACTTTTTCAAATTAATAGCTAATTTTCGTATTTTTTTGGTATTGCATTACTGTTGTGAAAAAAGAAATTGCAAAAGATTTTGTTGATCAGCAGAAATCAAGATTGGAATGCAACATTTCACAGCAATTCTAAGTTTAGTGGAAACTCAGAGAAGTTAACTGCATCGTTGTAGGATTCTTGCTGGTAATTTGCAAATAGATGATGATTCAGTAGAAATTCCACGGCTTAATATATCGTATAAACCGCAAAAGATTAGTCCGAAATCACAGTGTTCTGTGCGTGATCTTTTATATGAAAAAATACCAGATATGGTAAATCATGCACAATTCAGGACGGATGTTCTTTCTCCCTTAATGATTGATAATTTACTTAATTTGCAGGTTAGTAATTTTTTCATTTGATTGCTGTAATATTATTTTTAAAGTTAAGCTTCGACATTTCCTGGCTAGAAAATGAATGAGATTATTTTTCATAGGTGCAACATTTATCCGGTGGTGAACTGCAACGAGTTGCATTAGCGTTATGTCTCGGTAAAGCAGCTGATGTTTATTTAATTGATGAACCTAGTGCTTACCTTGATTCGGAGCAACGCTTGCATGCTGCCAAAGTTATCAAAAGGCATAATATATATTTTGAAATTTTTGGTTATCTCTTTGCTTCAATATTAATATTCACTGCTCATATCTAATCACTCTTATGTTTAAGAAAAGTTATTTGTGATTGGAAAATGAACAGTTGATAAAAAATATAGTTTTAGAATAGTTTAATATTAACATTATTCTGAACTCTGTACTTTTAAAAAATTCATCTAAAACTTTCGGAGTATCATTTAGCATGAAGAAATCCATGTAAGTTCGTTTGCATCATTTCATCATAATGGAAATAGGAAGCATTATGTCAGAGAAAATCAAAAGGACACTCAATAGAAAAAATTTTTAGTTCTATTTATTACAAGCTTAGAAACAAAAATTTTTTTGCATGCAGTGGCTTTTTCGTTTTTTCTAAAATAATACTTGCTACTTTTTTTATTTATTCTTAACAGGTTTATACTACACGCCAAGAAGACTGCATTTGTTGTTGAGCATGATTTTTTAATGGGAACATATCTTGCCGATCGCGTTATAGTATTTGAGGGATTACCATCGAAGTCGGCTACTGCTCAATCGTTAGTTCTTTAATTCCGTACGTACTGAAAGTCTTTGTCAATTTTTGTATTCTGTTTTAATAGAAGCAAATGTTTTGTATGCAGGCCTCAGTCGCTACTAGAAGGCATGAATCGATTTTTACGACTTTTGGATATTACTTTCCGACGTGATAAGGACAATTATCGGCCGCGTATTAACAAAAAGGATTCCGTCAAAGATATGGAACAAAAAAAGAGTGGGAATTACTTTTTCTTAGATGTGGACTAGACTTACTTTTTTTTGTTTCAACTCTGAATTTCTCGTCAAAAAGATTGCGGCCTCATTTCGTTGCAACTTTGGATGTTTCCCAGTCATTATTAAATATATAGTAGCTCTTATTTTTGTAAAATTTATTATAGTAATCAATCAACTCTCATTTGTTTACTTGTTAACACAAATCGGTGGTTGATTTAATTTTTTTCATATATTCGTTCTGATCTTGTTTGTGTTTGTTAGACTTTCAAAAACATTTGCTTTGCCTAAAGGGATTATTTATCTCTCTTATTAGCCGTTACTTTGTGAATTTTCAAAAAATGTGCAATCGTAAATCGAGTTATCATTTGCTTCAAAATTCTTTAATTTTCACCTTCTAAATCTCAAAATAGTATTTACAATTTCATTTTAAATATATACAAGTTTTACATGAACTTTGCACTCATCAAAAACTTATTAAGGACTAAAATCCTATTGTTTGATTGGTATAATTTGTTTTTTTTTTTGTTATACCGGCCATCATTTGTTTGTTTTTTTCAATAAGAAAAATGTTGAAGTGTGAGGAATCACGAAAATCTGTAACAAGTAGATATTTTAATTATTAACACAACGTACTGAAATGAAAGACAAAACATACATTTGGTTGACAAGTATATTTACAAAAGTAATAATTTCGAGTACATTACAAAAGTCAATGCTGAACT